CCCCCCTGCACCCCCTTCCACTTAAATATAAGTACTAATTGCTCACCTCAGTCTGAACAATCTCGTCAATCATGATATATGTTGGTGACGTGGGCAGAATGCTGGGATCGAACTCCATGTCAATGACCACAAGAGCCGACATGCTGAAGACATAGTCATCCCCTGATGGACAGAAGGAAGGAGGAAAGCATACAGTCGATGTTACTTATCTCTCATGGGACATTTTTTGTCGCTTTCACTCAACTTTGACATGAATATGTCAAATTTTGGCACATTTAAAACATAATAAATGATTTAGACGAATTAAATATTTGTGAAGTGAGATGACAAAATGAGTTACTTCTCAGATTTTAGCTTTTTGGAAAGTGATAAATCAACTTAATAGGTGAAGTTTGTACAATTTGTAAATATGGAATAATAAACGACAGGGTAGATTTGAACACACACAAGCAATACCGTCGATTCAGAAACTTAAATTCATTTTCTGTTCAAAATAGTGGGCTTCGTACTTCTGAACAAAACGATCCAGATTTTCTTGAACGAGTGTCCGACGAAGCTACTGAGGATCAGATGGACAGACAGGATCACCAACGAGGAAGTATTAAGAAGAACGAGACTGAGCCCAGTCAGAGAGGAGGTCGGAAGAAGGCGTTGGCGATGGATTGGACGCACTTTCAGGAAGTCAGGCAGCTGCATGGAACCCACAGGGGGAAAGATCAAGGGGAAGACCACGTGGAACGAGGAGAAGAGTCACGGAAATGGATGTACAGAAAAGTGGGAAGACGCAGAGAGACATCAAGCGACTAGCCCAGGATAGGGAAAGGTGGGACGTGTTTGTTCGTGGCCTATATCCTGATCCAGGGTGAGAAAGGCAATGCCGATGACATCTGCATAGACAGGCTATACCCCGAAAACTGTCTGTCTGTCTGTCTCATTGATTCAAGGCCAGCAAGATTATTTTCATGGACAGGGCAAAAGTTACCATTTTGCCACGATTCGACCGGATCCAACTTAATTACAAAATGTTGTAACTCCTTTTTTGTACTCAAATATCTGTCATAATCCACCAGCAAGAGAGTACAGATTGATACTAACTGTGAGAAAGAGAGAAAGTGAGAGAGACAGAAACATTGCACTGGTGTCTGTGGACACTCCCTGGTTTGCACTGCGTACTGTGCCCTGCCCACAGACAGACAGACAGACAGACAGACAGACAGGCAGACAGACAGACAGACAGACAGACAGACAGACAGACAGACAGACAGACAGAGACAGACAGACAAACAGACCTGTACCCTGTGTTGGCGTCAGAGGACAAGGCTTGGTCTGCACCGTGTAGTACATCCCTGCGACCCCCAGGGGATGTGACGTAAGGCCTGTGATGACACTGAGGATAGCCGTGTCTGTGGTCGCCTCCCACTGGACGTACATGCCCACACACGAGTTGCTGCAACAACAAAATGTGTGCCATTTATCCTCTAACGCATGTGCTGTATTATTTAATATGTATCGTTTTTGCTTTTCTTGCATTTATTTTATGTAGAGCGTCTAGAGCTGTGTTGGTAAGGGAGTAGGTGCTACAAAAAACGATCAACCTTGCTACTACTGCTACTGTTACTATTACCACTACTGCTATGCTGCTGCCACTGTAACTCTACTACAATAACTGCAACAACAACAACAACAACAACAACAACAACAGTTACAATAAAAACAGCAGCATTAACTATAGCAACTATACCAACAGCAACATTTTCAACAACAGCAATACCATAATCAACAATAACGACAATGACAAAAACAACAACAACAATAATAACGACAAGATGAAGAAAAAAAACAACAACAACAACATCATCTGCGAAAACAACAACAACAACAACAACAACAACAACAACAACAACAACAACAACAACAACAACAACACAAGGCTTACATAGACGAGAACTCCAAGGTCACCAGTTTCCCGCCCATCCCAGACAGTTTGGAGGTGACTGCGGTCTTCCAGTCCATGTATCGTCTGCTGCCTGGGTCCTGCAGCTCCCGAGTCCAGGTCAGTTGAAGCACATACAGCTTGAACTCCACCAAGTGGACTGGTCGGTGGGTGGGTCGGTGGCGTGTTGGGTTGGTGGGTGGGTTGGTGGCGTGGTGGGTTGGTGGGGTTGTTTGATTGGTGGGGTTGGTGGGTCGGTGGGTTGGGTGGGTTGATGGGGTTGGTGGGTTGGTGGTTTTGTGTGAGTTGGTGGCGTGGTGGGTTGGTGGGTGGGTAGGTGGGGTGGGTTTATGGGTTGGTGGGTTTGTTGGGGTTGTTGGGGTTGGTGGGGTTTGTGAGGTTGGTGGGTTGGTGGGTGGGTAGATGGGGTGGGTTTGTGGGTTGGTGGGTGGGTTGTTGGGGTTGGAGGTGGTGGTGGAAGTGGAGTTTAGGGGGGGGGAGATAGTTGAAACATATACATATTACATACGATGGAAATTGTCCAAGACGGCTCCTCCTTGTTGAGGAATCAAGGGTTTGTCTTATTCAGGAGCTCGTCTAGGAAAGTGACATTATAAAACAGAAAAAAAATATAACAGAGAGAGAGGGGGGGTGGTAAGTTTCGGTGCGAGTTTTACGTCACTTGCAACAGAATTGCGTCAAACAATTATTATTAGTGTTTTTGCTTATCCTTATGTCAGTATAATCAATGTATGGCTGAGAGACTGCTCCCTTACGCAGTTGAACTGGTTTCCTTGTCTATATGAAATGTTTTTAATGTTGGTTTTTAAATATTTTTGTATGTGTAACGCTTTACTGTTAGACAGGGATAGAGCACTATATACATTCATTCTGTTATTACTATCATTATTGTTATCATTATCACTTTTTATTATCATGATTACTATATTATTGCTATTATTATTATTGTTATTTTTATCAT